GTTCAGTTTAGTTTTTAATGGCAAAAGTGGTTATATATATTTTCGTTTCTTTATAATGTTAATTTGGACATATGTTTGGAAAATGTTTTTGTTTGTTAAAATCAAGTTTTTTGGGGTTTTTTTAAGTAACGACCAAGCGGCCAGTGGCAGACAGTGAGTTAATCATAGCCTATGTTTGATCAATTTAGCCTTCTCAAATCATCACCACTTGACTAAAATAAAATCTATAGGCCTATATAAAATGGCTTAAAAAACAATGTTAGTTTAAATGGTTAACCTAGACAAATGTGTGCTATTAGGAGCGTATCCAATCGTTTGTGCAGAGAAGCTAAAGCGCACTTTGCAGGACATGGAGTCGCCAGCACGATCACTTGCAGTTTTTTCTTATAACAGTGGAAACAACCGTCATTTTTGCTCAAAAAGGTAAGAGTAATGCATCATTCGGGACCCGGTAACAAAAAGAGCAAATCATCAGTTCCTGTTTAACAAAAACATCTGTAACCTTAAGCTCAGTTGTTGTGCATTTAAAAAACAACTGATTTTATGATTAAGACTGTAATTATTATTATGACTTCATCAGCGAAATTCGACTTTCTTGTGAGGTTAGCTTTTAGCTTAGCATGCTGCATAGAAGATCACGATAGAGCTAATGTTGCCGAACGATCTAACGTTACATACTGATTGTTTGTGCTAACATTAGCCTCTTAGCCAATTCAAAGTGTTGAACTGTAGTGTTTGATGTCCATGATACCTGTGGTTTACAGTGAAGAGAAACGAAGCAGGCTGTAGTGTTGGGGCCCGGTCCTTTCGCTCGATGCAAAAGAACGAGGCGCCTTACAACATAAAGGTATTTTGTGTTGTTGTAAGCAAATTTCTACACCCTCCATGTTCAGGACGGTTCAAGTTAAGTTAAAGGTTTGGTCCTTAGTTTGTTTTTGGACCTTGTTTGTTTGTTCGTTCATACTAAATACCAGGTGTTTCTAGTAAGCCGCGTCATAATACAATGCAACTTGTTACGGGTGACATGAATATGGTCTCAAGTAGTTTTTCTGATGTATAACGTTAATGCTGTAAATATATTTATTTATATAAGTACCGGGGAATAAAACAGGTTAGGCTGATAGCTGTTTGGGACTTAAAAAACGACTTTTACAAAACAGCTTAACCATTTCCCAGAGTAATAGTAGTACCCGTAGAGTAAACCGCACAAGTGAGGGAATTCTCCCAAATGTTTACTGCCCAGTCCCTGTCCCATTGCCCTGTGGTGAATTTGAAGAGAATCTGAGGGAAAAGAGGCATACAACTTGAGCCTGTTGCTGCTGCCGAATATGAAAAACTCACTGGAAACAAATTGTTTCCCTGTGGCTTAATAATTAATCATCATGCCCCTCACCTAGGAGCCTCACCTGACAGGAAAGTAGTTGACCTTACAGCAGATACTGTCCATGGTCTTCTTGAGATCAAATGCCCAAACAAAGACAGCTTCAAAAACTGCTCATATTTGACAAATGCAGCAAGGAACTACACTCTAAAAAAGATCCACGACTACTACTATCAAATTGTTGGACAAATGGGGATTAGTGGGTTTACCTGGTGTGATTTTTTTTGTAAAATGTAAAAATGATTACCACCTTGAACAGAAATTCATACAGGTTTGGAACAATTTTATGGTAAGCCATTTATGACCAAATTTCAAATTTGGATAAACTATTACTTTAACATTTTAAATACATTGCATTCTCTGTTAAATAGTCATTCATGTGTCATGAAAAAACTTTTTTCCTGTAAAAAAATAAAATAAAAATCTGTATTGATTTTGATTTATAGAGTGTAAATACGACAAATGAAACTAGATTCCAATGAAATGCAGAAATTTATTATTATTTTTTTTTAATTCTCTCAAACTTCAGACATGTCTGAAAATATTAATAGTACAAATGTTAATATAACAAGAAACTAATTCAAAGGTACATTTTTATATTGAAATGTCTATTTTTTGTTACATGTGGTATGTAATATTTTACTATTATATTTATATTTTAAATATAAAAATTTGTTTATATTTATATATATATATATATATATATATATATATATATATATATATATATAT